GATCATCAATGACTCTCCCAGTACTATCTGCTTCTCCAAGATAATTACATGTCTGTTCAAATCATCTATTGGGTTGGATCATCCATATGGTCAGGTTCTTCATCTTCATTTATATGATGGCATTTTCCTTGAGTGACACTCTTTCTGTACTTCCAGAACTTTCTGGTTCATTCAGTAACAGCCTGGAAGTACTGTCATGAACTATCTCATCACCTTCCTTCCTATTCTAAAGAACTAAGGGTTTTTAACTTCTAATTAGACAATTAACCTATTTATAAACATACCCATGGCCATGTTATCTAGCTGTAAAGCAGTTTAATTAGAGACTGCTAATTGACAAGCCCTACAAGTGTTGGACTGGTATTCTCTCAGGAAAGGTGAAGCCACATATGCTTCGTGAACTATTCCTGTCACTTATGACAGGAGGTGGGAGCAGTACACGTTAGCAACCCTAGGACCAGGTGGAGGGCACGTGGACAACCACCTAGAGAATGTCAGATCCAGTCCAAGAGGCAAAGAAAGGCCAGAGGCTCAGGATTAAGTAAGCATTAGGACATCTGAATGGAAGCCACAGAAAGCCAGGAAGTGGAGTCCCAGAACTGTACCCTTGAAACAGGAGCCCAAGGTCACTGCCTACAGGGTAGGAGTGGCAAGGCAGATATAGTGCAGGTGGTCAGTGAATGGGTGATGCAGTGAGTAATTTCTGAGACCTTGTTGGCTCAAGCCATGTTCCAAGGGCCAGGTGTGTACTTACCAGCTGCCCAATATCGAATCATTCCAGAACCACCTTTAGGTCTCGGCTTACCTGTGTAAAGGATAGATGAATATAAGCTTGTGTTATAATTCAATTATAATTAAAGTCTCCATGCACATTTGAGTCCACTGCAAACAAGAACTCAGTAAACACCCCCTCCCTGGTTTCCATGCATTGCTCTTCTCTGCTTCTCCTGCTACTACTTTGGTGTTACCTTTGCGGTCTTCTTTGCAGGCTTCTCTTCATTTCCCTTTTAAATGTTGATGTTCCTCAGAATTCTTAGTATCCTTCTCTTCTCTTCTCTTCTCTTCTCTTCTCTTCTCTTCTCTTCTCATTCTTCCCCTCCCTGTATAATCTTGTCTATGTTTTTTCCTGTTTCTTAAAAAACTCTATTAAATATAGTCCTGAAAGACTTAAAATGTGAAAACCGGTCTCCTACACCAACTACTCCTATCCTGTGTCTATTCTCACTCAGTGGAGATAATGATTTTTAATTATTTTGGTTGTTTCTTTTGATAGTTTGTCTCTTTATTTATATAATATTTTCTACTGTGAATTTTTTATTTATCAATTTCAGACAACTTCTGAAATTAACAAAATTCTTCTAATGTAGAGGAGGATTTCGCTGTCTTGGATCTCCCAGCACTTCCCTCCCTGATACCCCAAGATGCTTATATTTTTTTTTTTTTTGAGATGGAGTCTGGCTCTGTCGCCCAGGCTGGAGTGCAGTGGCCGGATCTCAGCTCACTGCAAGCTCCGCCTCCCGGGTTTACGCCATTCTCCTGCCTCAGCCTCCCGAGTAGCTGAGACTACAGGCGCCCGCCACCTCGCCCGGCTAGTTTTTTTGTATTTTTTAGTAGAGACGGGGTTTCACCGTGTTCGCCAGGATGGTCTCGATCTCCTGACCTCGTGATCCGCCCGTCTCGGCCTCCCAAAGTGCTGGGATTACAGGCTTGAGCCACCGCGCCCGGCCAAGATGCTTATATTTTTATTGAACCAAATATCAGCATTTATAATATCACAACTATATTCATACTATTCACTTTAAATTCAAGTAGAGGACTATGATAATATTTACTTTCCAGTATCTTTTTTATGTCTCCTGGAGTCAATCAATAGTCACTTCTAATTCTCATGGATTCTTCAAGGTAGTTATTCATTATTCCTCTTTTTTTTTCTGAATGCTGCATAATATCTGTCACAAACCTATCAGTAGTTTTTTCTAAATCGTTGCTCATATCTGCTTATATTTCAGTTCTTCCCCTTTTCCTCCGTCCCTTTCACCATAGCCCTCCCTTCTCTTACTCTGGCCAGATCCCTTGTTCTCAGAATCCATTGGCAAGGGTATTCCCAGGTTTGGTAAAGAATACCATCTGAAAGCTTCCAAAGAAAAGGTGCACGGGAGTTAAAATTATTTGAGTCCTGTTAATCTGAAAATGTCTTTAATTTGCCTTCATAATTGATTGGAAGTTTGGATGGGTCTGAAATTCGAGAATCAAAGCCATTTTTTTCTTGGAATTTTCAAGGCATTCCTTCATGGTGTTTTAAGTTCCAGTGTGGCACTTAACAAGTCTAATGCAACTCTTTGTTTTTTTCTTATTTTTCTTTTTTAAAAAAGGCATAATCTTTTTAAAAAGGTCAAAATGTAAACCAATTAATATTAAATTATAACTTGATGGACTTTTACAGATGTATTTGCCCATGTAACCCCATTCAGATCAGCAACCCAGAAGGTTCCTTTGTGCCTGTTTCCTGTCAATATCACCCCACCCCCATCCTAGAGATAACCACTTATCTGACTTCTATCACCACAGATTAGCTTTACCTGTTCTTGAACTTCAACTATGGAGCCATACTCTTTTGTGCCTGGCTTCTTCTGCTCCATAAAGTACCTATGAGATTCATTCATATCATTGTGTGTATTAGCTGTTCATTTGTTCTTTTACCATGTACCATTCTAGAGTTTATCTGTTCTTCTCTTGATGGACATTTGGGTTGTTTCCAGGTTTTGGCTACTATGAATACAGCAGCTGTGAACACCCTTGTACGTGTTTTTTGGAAGACACACTCATTTCTCTCAAGTAAGTACCTGGGAGTGGAATTGCTATATACTAGAGTCAGAGATACTATCAGAGAGTTCGGCAGTTTCTCAAAGTAGATGAGCCACTTTTCACAATGTATTAGAGTTCTGGTTGCTCCATTTCCTCCCAACATGTGGTATCACCAGCCTGTTTAATTTTAGCCATTCTTGTGGGTGAGTAGGGATGTCTCACTTAAGTTGTCATTTGCATTTTCCTAATGCGTAATTATGTTAAACACTTTTCATATGTTTACTGGGAAGTTATCCTCTTTTGTGAAGTGCCTATTCAAGTGTTTTGCCCACTAAAAATATTGACTTGTTTTTCTTATTAATTTGAAAGAACTTTTCATATATATTCTGGATGCAAGTCATTTTGATATATGTGTGGAGACTATCCTCTCATAGGCTATGATTTGCTTATTCACTTTGTTAGTGGTGAATTTAATTTTACCTAAGTCCAGTTTATTCATTTTTATGATATTGAGTGCATTTGGTGCTCTGTTTAAGAAATCTTTGGTTATGTCAAAGTCACAAAGATATTTTGTATTTTCCTCTGGAATCCTTATTTTATTACTTTTATATTTAGGTCTATAATCCACCTTCTGATATCATTATTATTTTCATTCCTTTGTATATGAAGTGCATTGTCCTCCCCGCCTGCCCTGAGAGATTGTGGTTATGTGTTTAACCTAATCTAGGTGTTTTGAAATTTCACTCTTACAAGCTTTGATATAGGTCAGGATTTGGTCACTGGGGACATACTTGGAGGGTTTTTTCAATCCGAAAACTGGTTCTGCAATTCTGGAACATTTTGGGGGGGTATTATTTCTTGATAAATTCCTTCATCCTCTTACCCTGTTTTGTTTCTAGAATTCCTGTTAGCCTGCAGTTGGATCTCCAGGATTGATTGTCCAAGTCTTTAACCTTTCCATTCTTGTTTTCCATCTGACTTTTGCTACACTTTCTAGAAGATTTCTTCAACATCACTGTACTTCTTTTCTATTGATTGTTTTATTAGTTATCATTTTTAATTTCCAAGAGAATTTTAGTTTCTTAAGTGTTTCTTTGGGGGGCCAGGTCAGCTCCTCTGCAAGCACTTTATATTGAGCCTTTCGTTTAAAAATCAGTTTTCCCTCAGCCACTTTCTTCTGAATGTGTTGTTCACTGCTCTCTACTTTTTGTTGTTGTGTGTTCACATCTTATTAAATACCTTAATATCATGCTGGTGTGGTCTTGGGAGGGAGAGGAGACATACTTGCCATTAACCTAGAATCTCTCCCATGGTTTCTGCTCCCTCTGTTTATTCCCAAGTTAATTTTTTCCGTGTATAACCAGCTCTTAAATTCCAGATACATCAAAATTCCTGTGGGAAAAACACTACCTCCAAGTAATTACATCAATGACAAAATGCATCATCTCTACTTACCCCCTTCTTCCTTCTGAGTTATCAGTCTCAGTAAGTGGCAGAAAAAACAAGGAGTCATTTTTAACTTCTCTTGTTTCTTTACTCTCACATTGAATTATCTCCAAGTTCTGTTGATTCTTTCAAATGCCTCTTTTATCTGTCCCTTCCTCTTCACTCTCACTGCATGATTTAGTTCTGTATTATTACTCATCTATACAATTGCAATAATTTCTTTCCTAATTTCTTTGCTTCTCCTCTCAACCAATCTCTTCTAACCCATTCTCCATACTTTTCCACAGTGCCTTTCCTGACATTAGTATTTGAACTCCATGAGGGCAGGAACTTTGTCTTTATTCACCAATATATCTCCAACTCCTAAAACAGTACTTTGCTCTTAGTAGGTATATTACTCTGTTCTCACAGTGCTAATAAAGACATACCCAAGACTGGGTAATATATAAAAGAAAGAGGTTTAATTGATTCACAGTTCCATAAGGCTGGGGAGGCCTCAAAATCGTGGCGGAAGGTGAATGAGGAGCAAAGTCACGTCTTACGTGGAGACAGGCAAGAGAACCTGTGCAGGGGAACTCCCATTTATAAAACCATCAAATCTCGTGAGACTTATTCACATATGAGAAAAGTATGGGGGAAACTGCCCTCATGATTCAATTATCTCCACCTGGCCCCACCCTTGACACGTGGGGATTATTACAATTCAAGATGAGATTTGAGTGGTGGCACAGCCAAACCATATCAGTGGGCCCTCAATAAATATTTGTCCACTAAATAGATGACCAAATAAATCTGACCCTGTCGCTTTCTTACTTGTGACCTTTCAGTGTTTTTACTCCCCTCCCTCATCACCTGCTTAATAAAAGCTGAACTCTATCATGACATGATCTAGCACTGGTCCAACTTCATTTTCTACCTCTTCCCAACTCACCTGATATATTTTCTTTTCCTATTAACACTGATTAGCACTGAATAACTTGTTCACAGAGAGCGCTATAATTTATCAGGACTGCAAGCCTTTGCATATGCTAGAGTCCCTCTGCCTGGGACACCTTCCTGTTCCTTTGCCTGACAAGTTACTATTCATTTTTAAAATTTTATCACGAGTTACTTTCCTGAAAGAGGTTCTTCTGGACGCTTGAGGCAACCTTAGGCTTTCCTTTCTTTATGATCTTATTACACATTTTGTACCTCCTTAAGTAGTTTTATCATAAGTACTTTCATCAATCTCTGGTTTCACTCTACTTTTGGGTATGCAGGAAGATCATACTTTTTTGTCTCTTTGAAATTATGTATAGCCATGTGGCTTTATCTGGCCAGCAAAATATAAGTGGAGTTGTTGTGCTGAAGCATACTTATAAGTGGGAGTGCAATTCTCCATTTCTTCTGCCATCTTCCAAGATAATCAGTTACATTCTATGTAATGGAATCTCTGTTAGTCTGTGTCTCCAAATGTGGATGAAGTTGAGCAGAATCCCCGACCTGTGCATGATGGACATATAATATGAGCAAGAAACAAATCTTTTTTGTTTTAAGCTATTGAGATGTTGAGATTGTTTATTACTGCAGTATAACCTAATCTATCCTGACAAACATACTTCCACATAGTCATTACCCTATCTCTTAATAATAGCAGTTTACCATTTCTTTGAGGTCAAGGCAATATCATTACACTTCTTTTTAGATTAGGCACTTAAAATATTTGTTAGTACAATGCTAGAAAAAATATTTTTGGACACCTGCGATGTGCCTGGCACTGTACTAAGGATTTTACTCATGTTATTTAATCCTCAACAACCCTATGGGTAGGCATGATTCCCATTTTACTCACAGAGAAAGAAGCTCAGAGGGGTTGAGGTGACTTTCTCAATGTCACACCACTGGTGAGAAACAGAATCAGCCACCAACCAAGTAGTTCTGATTCTTCCGCTCACACTCATTCCGCTACACGCTGCCCTGGGAGTAACAGATGAAGTATGTGCTGTCTGCGAGGAGGCCCCATCCATGCAGACATACCTGTCCTAAACCTTGTACTGGACAACTAAACAAGCATCAAACAAATCCGAGTGTCAAGTAAGTGAATAAAAAAATTGGAAACATTTTTAGGATCTAATGGGAAATGGAGAATCCTTTCGATAACTTTTCAGTTCTTAAGGAAAAGCCAGTCACATCCTGTGTGTTCAGTGAGAATCCCGTCTGTGGCCCAGTATAGAAGTCAATTTCAGAGCATTGCCTGTTCGGCCCTGTTCTGGTTGGTGTGGCTGACTTTTGGAGCCATTTCCTTGGTGACATTTCTGAACATGTACTAACAATCAATGACAAGGCATGGTCACACAGTCCAGCCTCTAGCCTGGTATGGCATTCTCAGAACATATTTCCTCAAGAGTGTGTCAGCTGGGTCCTTAGGCAGCTGTTAGATGATGGGTTGAAGTAGACTGACAGTGGAATGAAGACATACTCTAAGCCTCATGGAACTATAGCTTTGAGTACCGTGACCCATTGAAGGAAAAACCTCCACTAAAGGGCTGGTACTCAGGCTAGAGAGAGCTTCCAAGAAGGAGGGAATAGCAGCCTGAGAGATAAGTGGCTGCATGCCACTAAGTGCCCCATGGAGGGTTTTCCCATGTGTGGAGGGAGTAAATTTTGAGAGAGCATCTCAAGGGATGGCTTCCTGGTTGATGTGACCCTCAGAGTTGGGCTTGGCCCTAGAAAATTCTCATTTACTTTTAACTGTTATTCTTGCCACTCCATTGAATTTTATTTGCATTATTTGTGCATTCTTTCTACTCTGAACTTTGATAGTGTATAACATGCATTTGGTATTTTTCATGTATTATTATATTTAATATAATACATATATGTATTTGGGGAAGTTGAATGTCATTTGCACAATCAGTTTATATGTTTTTTGAAGACAGAGTGGGGCTTATATACTTTGGGCAGGCATCTAGTGTGGAGCTTCACACATTTCCAGCTCTGTTATCTGACCCAATTTGTGCCACTTCTTTGGTGAAACAGCTGTTAGTGACCAACAGCATCTTTGATTCTGAGGGTATTAAGGAACCAGAATATGTAATACAACAATCCTTTGCTCATTTTTAGGTCATTTAGATCCTGGTTTGAACAGCCAATTTTCTAAAATTGTTTCCTGTGTTTTGGTAGAGTGAAGATAGCAAGGGTGTTTCAATTGTACAGGGGTTTAATTTATAGAGGTGACTGAGTGACAACACAGACCGGTCAATGCCGTTGAAAGAAGAGTTTATTATTTCCAGTTTCCAGGAGGAGGAGACACACTCTGCCATACAGAGCCACCTGGGGAAGCACCAGGGTCGGTCAGGAGGCAGAAAGCATGAGCACAGCCTTTATCATGGTTTCTGCAGGAAAGGCAGGCAAGGCAGAGAATTTAGGATTGGCTGGTCCTGAGTTATAGTTTTGGTGGTTTCTAGTTATCTGGTACCTGGCCCGGGGGTGATTTAGGACAGTGAAAGATTGGCTTTGTGTGTGAGAGTTGGATAAAGTAGATGGATGGGAATATGGACTTTGGATTTCTTGGTTTGCACAAGAAACGTGTGCTCAAAGACAAGTTGTTTGGTATCTGTAGGAATTAGCTAATCCTGGGAGGGGCAAGTCTCCCCCCTAGCCAGCAAGGTCCCCAAGATATCAAAGCATCATAAAATACAGATAATAAGAAACATGATTAATACAAAAACTTATTTCTATAGAGACTGGACTAGAAAATTCTGAGAGGCTTTTCACCTGTACCAAGTCCTGGTTTACTCTTCCCAGCAATACTATGAAGTGGGTTTTATCCCCATTTTACAGAGGAAGAAACTGAACCTCCTTGCCCAAGTCAGCCAGCTGGCAGCTGAGGGATTAGGGGCTTAATCTCCAGTTCCGCCACTGCACCTTGGGGTTTATTAAACCCCACAGAGAAGATAGTTTGGCTCCATCTGCTGCTTGAGGCAGCATTGACGTTAAGGCCCTTGGAATGTGAATGGCAGTCTCTGAGTTTAGGACCAGGCTGAGCAAAGAAAAGGAAGTTCATGTCTGGGCTAGTGCTCACAGGCCCTGCACTTCCTTTATTCAGCTGGGTGTCAGCAGGAAGGGTTGACTTTTTTATCTTAAGCTAAGCTTCCAATTTGGACATACATCACAATCCAAGGCGAGGCCTGAAACCTTGGGTGTCTGTGAATTTAAAATGTTTGTAGCTGCTTGAGGCTGCTTGACAGGCCAATGTCAAGGTTATGGGGGTGGCCAGGCTGTACCCATTGACATGTGTCTGTAGCTGGACACTCAAGCCAAACCCAGTGGAGAGTGGTCCCAGGAGTGGGGAGTCAGCCCCTGGCAAGGAGTGTGGTTGGCTTGAGAGGGAGTGAGCACAGTCTGATTCTGTGTTTCTTTCCTTCCCCACATGGACAGTTCCCTCATCTTCCTGTGCATGGGTGATACACCAGAGACTTAAAACTTTGCTACCTATCTATTTTAGATTGCGTGTTGAAAGCAGAATTGCTGAAAATATAATGTTGCTTCAATGACTGCCCAGTGGCACCCTTCCATTCCAAGTAGGATGCCTTTAAGTCATGTAACAAGGGCCAGCCAAGGGAGACTGCTCTTTGGGAGCAAGACCAGCCACAATGTCCAGAGGAAAGTAGATTGGAAGTGTGTGGGGACTCTGGAGCTAGACCATGGGCCTTCCAATCTTACCATTGCCACTTCCTGACTGTGACCTCAGGCAAATGACTTAATAAGAACTAACACTCGACAGATCTGCAAAGCCCTTTACATAGAATAACTTGTCTAGTCCTCAAAATCAACTCTAAGGAAGGTGGAGTATTGCCTCCATTTACTGAAAAAGAAACTGAGGCAGAGGAGATTACATAACATGCAAAAGCCAGACCCTAATAAATGGCAGAACCAGTATTCAGATTCCTTCCTGCAGTCTGGCCTCTGTGTCCATGGCTTAACCACAACCACTACACTTTCCTATTGCACTTGAGCTTGCAGCATGTTCATTTCCTCATCTGAGACATGCATGTTATAATAACCCTTGCTGCATGGGGTTGCCGAGGGATGTATTGGGATAGCATGTAGAACGGGTTTGACACAGACTAAGTGTTCAGTAAGTGTTAGCTTTTATTATTCATTATAAGCTGCTGTGTCCTCCACTTTTTTGTATTGGTTGTTTTTCCTCGTGCTCCTTCTCTGGGGCTATAGAAAGTGAGAAGAACCCGAGGGCTTATATTCTTAGCTAAATTTAGAAAAAAAAATCCTAGAGCATATAGTAGCTGTATTAATGTCCACTGTACCTTCTGACCTTGGTAAACCTCTGATGGATTCTCTCCCTGCACAGTCTCACTCCCCACTAAGCCTGAGGCCTCGCATATGACAGGATAAATCAAGAGTTGTGAACATGCAGGAGCCCTGGTGGGACCTTGGGTGGCTGACCTGTGACAGCGCCTGGGCGCTGAGGAGGCTTCTTCTCTCAGGTGGGCTTATTGTTTGTGCTGTGTCTATTCCATTCCAGCCTGCCCCTACCTCTCAGTGCCACTGAAGCTTGGAGAGGCACGATGATGGTCCCCCAGGGAGGAGAAGAGCAGAAAACTTCCTCTGGGTGGATTCTGTGCAACCAAAGGAGGAGACGGGAATGGAGGCAATGAGCCTGGCTAATTTTCTAGGCTTGTTCCCGTAATCTAAGTGAACACTTTACATCTCTTAGCCCATCCCTAACCCCGACATTTTTCTCCCTTCAATTACCCTAAGAGGGTGAAACAGATTTATGTGACCACATAAAGGAGTGTAATTACACGTAAGGAAATATTCTTGTCTATAAAAGTGACTAAAAGGTAATGAGAGGGTGAAAAGTCTCCATCCATGACTTTAGAACCTTTAAAAAAAATAGTTTTCCTTAGCCAGGCATGGTGGCATGTGCCTGTAATCCCAGCTACTCAGGAGGCTGAGGCAGAAGAACTGCTTGAACCCAGAAGCCAGAGGTTGCAATTAGCTGAGATTGCACCACTGCACTCCAGCCTGGGCGACAGAGCGAGACTCTGTCTCAAAAGAATCTCAAAAAAAAAAAAAAAAAAAAAGTTTTCCTAATTAGAAGAATATACATACAGTTCTATTTTGAAAATATAAGAAAATATCAGTCAATTCTCCTTCCACATTCCAGAAACAATCTTCTAATATTTTGAAGTGCTTTTTAGGCTTATTAAAAGTTGCACATATGAATATGTATTTTTCAAAAAAATTGGGATTATTCTGTATTACAGAAATTGTCTTGCTTACATGTTATCTCGTAAGAATTCTCTCTTGTTATTAATATTTTTAGAAATACAGGAGCATGGTAAGTATGAGGGCAGGTAGGTCCTGGTCTTGCATGGGTTTGCAGCATGAAGTCAGGGTAATGGATCAGGAAACCTGTGTGGAAATCATCCTTTTTCTCTTTAGTGGACTGAGGCAAATCTAGTCTATTTAATAAATCAATTTTTAAATTAAAAGATTAATGTTATTACTTAAAGAAAATAAAATCTAGAAAAAAATTAACACTGTTTGTGCAATGCATGTTTCCATGATAAAATTCCAGCATTGATTTTGGAAGGTCATTTCTGAGTGTGGGCAGGGTGGGAAAGGCAAAGGAACAGAAAGGAACAGAGAAGGAAGGTTGTGAGTGTGCCTGATGGAGACCCACAAGGACCTGGGAGGTGGGAGAAGGGGGCTGGGGGTCTGATTCGAGAGGGACTGACAGCTCACTGGGCTTGAGGCATGCCCCTCAGCTGTGCAGGTAAGCTGAGAGAACGTGTGGTGACAGTCAGTGCTGGTCACCAAATATTCCAGATCTACTTCCAGGCACATGGTGGGGTGGTGGCTCCTGGCTGCCTTGTGGTTTGTATGGCCCTGTGGCATGTTCTGGCCAGTGCAGTATGAGTGGAAGTGCATGACTCTTAAGTGGAAGCTTTAAGAGCTGGTACAGGGCTTCCCATGTTCCCTCTGCCACTGTGTTTGGTAAGGCCCCAGAGGTGGCAGACATCTTTGGGTCCCAGAGCAAGGACGACACAGACCAGAGTCCATAACTGACCTGTAACAGACACCTTTCCTTTGAAGGAGGCAGCATATACTTGTGGGTTCTTACAGGAAGCTGACTTGATATAGATGGGCACTCTGGTAATGGCATTTGGTCCTGTGGACCCAAATATTAATTCAAGACAAAAGATGGAAGAGACTGAGCCTCAAAAGAGGCTAGAGCCATTGTTCACAATAGAACCCACCAGAAAGAAGGTAACCCAAGGATAATAGTGGGTTCCCAGAAGCCACAGGGAACAGACTTGATGTGGTAATGACCACATGACTAACTGCAGACTCTGGGGTAGGACCCAAGGGAAGATTACAGAAGTGTTGGAGAAGAAATTTCAGCCTTGGGTCAGAGAGGGTGAGCTAGGGTTCTACTTGGAGTGGCTAATTTTATGTCTCATTCTGGCTATGGTGCCTAGTTCCAGTTGTTAGGTCAAACACCAGTCCAGATGTTGCTGTAAAGGTATTTTTGTAGATGTACTTAATGTATACAATCACTTCACTTTAAGTAAAGATTACTCTTGATAATGTGGGTGGACCTCATCTAATCAGTTGAAGGCCGTAAGAGCGAACATGAGGGTTCCTAGGGATAATTAAAAAGAGAAATCTCTCTTTCTGTTTATATATTTTTAATTACAGAAATTAATATATAATATATATTTCTATAATTATAAATATATAACAAATATATATCATATTTCTGTAATTAAAAAATATTTTCTGCAACCTTCTCAATGCCTGTTTTTAGCAATGCTTCTGTTCTTATTCAGTAAACCTCTTTAAAAAAACCAAGAGATATGTGTGCATATTTTGGACACAGTCACTTGGGAAGAAATCAGGAGTCTAGCTTTTCTGAAGAGGGCCTTTGGGGAAGCAGAGCCCAGCTCCTGGAGCCTAGGGAAAGAAGAGGGATGGGAGGTGTGTGCTCTGGCTACAGAATGATAAAGCCCTGCTCTAAAGAAAGAGCCACTTAGTTTTTCAAAAACCTCCTTTTGCCACACTTCTCGTTCCCCTTAAATCATCAGATCTATTAACCAAAAGCCAAGTTGCTCTTCAGGGATTTGTTTTTCAGTTTAAAAAAGTCTTTTCCCATCCCAAAGCTGTTCCATATGTGTATCAAGGAGCTATCAACTTGAGTTCACATTCTCGTGATCACATTCCTGGGGGGACAAACTACAGGACAGAAAACAAAATATTTATGGCAATTTTCCTTGGAAATCAAGTGGAAATTTTCAGGGGACTCTGTTCTGCAAACATGTAGCAGTTGAAGGTACCGTTGGGAATTGGGTCAATTTTGTACCTGCCTCCTCTCTGGGTGCCATCTTTCTCTCAGCTCTCCCCTCAGGCCCTCCCCTTCCCTCTTCCCTAAGGCCCCCCGACATGCCCTTTTGCTCCTTCAGCTTGCTGTAATCAGCCCCTCTATACCCACCAATGTCTGGACAATCCTCTCCTCCCCCATTTCCTCCTTGAACCGTCAATCTTTTCTTGACTCTAGCCCCAAAGCCTTTGACTGGATTCATCACAGTAATGTATAAATACACCACTGCTAATGTGCTAGCTTCCTTCATCTAATTCCAGGAGTTACCTAGCCCCATTAAAAACCCTTGGTCCTTACTTACTTCCTAATGGAGATCTAGGATGGGAGCTGTCGCCTCGCAAATTCCAGTCATCCACTGGTGTGCAGGAGCTACCTCCCATGGGCTTATGAGAACTGGTAGTTAAATATTCAGAAATTTTGTGAGTTGGTCATTAAACTGTTGGTCATTTGAAATTATTCATTGTGAGAATATTTGTCCCCTTGGAAATTGGTAAATACCACAAATCAGAGCTTTCTTTTTAATTCAGAGAGCGAGCTTACCAATATATCACTGCACTAACTCCTCATGGGCTATAAAGTGTCAAAGTGAAGTGTCACAAACAAATTTCACCAGCCACAGGGTGCGGGGTGTGAGTTGGAAATTGAAGTGGAAGAACTTCTTACCTCCTGTGTGGACAAGAAGTGCTTTTATCGTTTTTACCTTTTGTCTTCATTAAATTTTATGATTCCTTTTATGACTTTAATTTGTGATTATGACCTGCCATGTATTTCTTGTTTAAATAACCCTGTAATTGTTTCCTTCCCCTTTGGGAAAGATGATGTGTTTTATAATAAGAGAAATATTTTAGGAACAACGTACCACAATTAAAATTAACATATGCCAGGGTGAATCGTGGGACACCAAGGAAGACATGTTTTGGTTTATTGAATGTTAACTGGGTCTGAAGGAAACAACTGAAAGGTCAAAATGAGCCTGGAACACTTGTTTATTGAGCATCCAAAGAGAACCTCTCAGAGGTGGAGAGAGGTCAAGGCCAATTCTATTTTTTTAAGGCTTCTAGAATATAAAAAATGTGAGAAATGCCTTGTATATAGAAAGAGCCCTTTAAAAGGATGAGAGGTTGAGTTCTGGAGGAGCAGACATTCCTTTTCTAGAATCTATCATGGTTAGAACATAAAAACAGTGACTTTTTGTAGAATAACTATTGGCCTGTCTACCGCTTCCCAGACTGTGGGCTCCCTGAGGACCAAAACTATATTCCACACCTGTAATTCCAGTCTCTGGCATAGTGCCAGGCACTGAATCAGTGCTTCCATAAATGATGGTTTAAAAAAAGAAAGGTATGAAGGTATGAATGAATGAATAGAAAGGGCAAGAGAGGACGTCATGCGGTGCTGAAGTTGGTGAGGTCTCCCATCTCCAGTCAGTGGTTCCTAGACTTTGAATTTCATAGGTGAGTGCATTTTCAAATAAGTTTGAAGACTGATATAGGACTTCCAGACTTCTTATTTTGTCAAATAAGTCAATGGCTACTATCCCCTACGACTAACGTTTTATTAAGAGAAAAATATTTTAATATAAAAATTAGTAATTTTCTAAGAACAGAGATAGCAACTTTCTATTGATATCTATTGATAAATATATTGATATCCATCTATATTTTACACCTTTGGATATGTCTTTGGCATATATCCATGCTGGGTATTGGAGAACTTGAATCTTGAGGCTCTCATCCGAGTCCAAAATCATTTTTAATCGGCCCTGCTTCTGATTAAAATAGCAAAGAAAAAAATTAGGTAATAATCATAGGCACCACTTATTGATTGTCTACTCATTAAGTGGATATAGATTATTCATTGTTTGGCATATGAAGCAACAAATTTGAAAGCCATCAAGGAGGTGTATGAGACTGGGCCACTCATTGAACATCTGCAAATCAAGTATGGTCTAGCCTTGGATTCTGAAGATATTGGTAGATGGGAGGGACAGTTCTGCTTCTTCTCTGCCCTTTGGGTTTATATGGATAAAGTCATCTTGGGTAATCTTAAATTTGAGGATTTCTGAGGGTTCTCAGGGTCAGCGTTATGCACAAAATGCACTTGGAGTTAGAGGTTAAAAACATCTTAGTCCTGGCAAAATGCCTCGGGGGCAGTGGGAGATCAGGCTGGATGGCTAAGGTCTGCTTTAAGAGTGTGGAATGCTGGGTGAAGGAGAATGGACTGAAGTTCTCTGTATAATTAGAAACATCAAATACTGCTTGTTGCTTTTTTTTCTTTTTTAAAAAAGGTAACATGATAAATGGAAGTCTTCCACTCTGTATAGACCCAGCTTTCTAATGGGATGGTGCCCGTTTCCTTCAAATCTCAGCATGTGCATCTGGATCACCAGACCCAACTGCCAAGAATGGGATGGATTAGCTTGAATTCTTTGGCCACTGAGTTCATGCATCCTGGAGTTTAGGGCCTGAGTATAACTTCCGTGAGAGAGAGAGGATTGCTTTGAGCCTCTTACACTCAATTTTGTCTTTAAAATTTCGGGAGAATTACTTTCCAGACAATGGGTGGGACAAGCCAGTATGTTTAGTAGCCATCCCATTAAAAAAAAAATGGAGCTTTTTGCAATAGGAACAAATGGAGTGAAATTATTTGTGTGATTTGAAGAAACTGCTTATTTCTGGGCTGGCTGATGCAAAACAGTTTACATCCTCCTATGGTGATTTTATCCCCCAAGGAGAATATTACTTACTTTTACTGACAATACTTTAAAAAATTCTCATTTCAAACTCAGTATGAATAGCTGGAAATTGACATGTGGCTGTGTGATTCTCTTGGGAGTTCAGATCCCCTAGATGAAGTACAGGAGGGAAAAGATACAAAAGAATGACAGCTTTAATTTCAGTAGTGCACTCATCATGAGTGCACATCAGAATTGCACCTTGCAGAACTCTTTGTGATTT